CCCCCCGCACCCCCAACCCCCCCTACACCTTCAACACCTCCTCCACCTTCAACACCTCCTCCACCTTCAACACCTCCTGCACCTTCAACACCTCCTGCACCTCCAACACCTCCTACACCTTTAATACCTCCTACACCTTCAACACCTCCTCCACCTTCAACACCTCCTGCACCTTCAACACCTCCTACACCTTTAATACCTCCTACACCTTTAATACCTCCTACACCTTTAATACCTCCTACACCTTCAACACCTCCTCCACCTTCAACACCTCCTGCACCTTCAACACCTCCTACACCTCCAACACCTCCTACACCTTCAACACCTCCTACACCTTCAACACCTCCTACACCTTCAACACCTCCTACACCTTCAATACCTCCTCCACCTTCAACACCTCCTACACCTCCTACACCTTCAACACTTCCTACACCTTCAACACCTCCTACACCTTCAATACCTCCTACACCTTCAACACCTCCAACACCTCCTACACCTTCAATACCTCCTACACCTTCAACACCTCCAACACCTCCTACACCTCCAACGCCTCCTACACCTTCAACACCTCCAACGCCTCCTACGCCTCCTACACCTTCAACACCTCCTACACCTTCAACGCCTCCTACACCTTCAACACCTCCTACACCTTCAATACCTCCTATACCTTCAACACCTCCAACGCCTCCTCCACCTTCAACACCTCCAACACCTCCTACACCTTCAACACCTCCTACACCTTCAACACCTCCTACACCTTCAATACCTCCTCCACCTTCAACACCTCCTACACCTCCTACACCTTCAACACTTCCTACACCTTCAACACCTCCTACACCTTCAATACCTCCTACACCTTCAACACCTCCAACACCTCCTACACCTTCAATACCTCCTACACCTTCAACACCTCCAACGCCTCCTACACCTCCTACACCTTCAACACCTCCTACGCCTCCTCCACCTTTAATACCTCCAATGCCTCCTACACCTTCAACACCTCCTACACCTTCAACACCTCCAACGCCTCATACACCTTCAACACCTCCATCTCCTACATCTCCTACCCCTCCTACACCTTCAACACCTCCAACGCCTCCTACACCTCCTCCACCTTCAACACCTCCTACACCTCCTCCACCTCCAACACCTCCTACACCTTCAACATGTCCTACACCTTCAGCACTTCCAACGTTTCCTACACCTTCAACGCCTCCTACACCTCCTAAACCTTCAACCCCACCAATGTCTCGTACACCTACAACACCTCCGATACCTCCTACACCTACAACACCTCCTCCACTTTCAACACCTCCAACGCCTCCTACACCTCCTCCCCCTTCAACACCTCCTACACCTCCTCCACCTCCAACACCTCCTACACCTTCAATACCTCCTACACCTTCAACACCTCCTACACCTCCTCCACCTCCAACACCTCCTACACCTTCAATACCTCCTACACCTTCAACACCTCCTACACCTCCTCCACCTCCAACACCTCCTACACCTTCAATACCTCCTACACCTTCAACACCTCCTACACCTCCTCCACCTCCAACACCTCCTACACCTTCAACACCTCCAACGCCTCCTACACCTCCTCCACCTTCAACACCACCAATGTCTCGTACACCTACAACACCTCCGATGCCTCCTACACCTACAACACCTCCTCCACCTTCAACACCTCCAACACCTCCTCCACCTTCAACACTTCCAACGCCTCCAACACCTCCAACGCCACCTACACCTACAACACCTCCTACACCTTCAACACCTCCTACACCTTCAACTCCTCCAATGCCTCCTACACCTACAACACCTCCTCCACCTTCAACACTTCCAACACCTCCTACACCTACAACACCTCTTACACCTTCAACACCTCCAGCGCCTCCTACACCTACAACACCTCCACCACTTTCAACACCTCCAACGCCTCCTACACCTACAACACCTCCTCAACCTTCAACACTTCCAACACCTCCTACACCTACAACGCCTCCTTCATCTTCAACACCTCCTACGCCTTCAACACCTCCTTCACCTACAACACCTCCTACACCTTCAACACCTCCAACGTCTCCTACACCTCCTCCACCTTCAAGACCTCCTACACCTTCAACGCCTCCTACACCTTTAATGCCTTCAACACCTACTACACCTTCAACACCTCCTAAACCTAAACTTCCTACTACTCCACACCTCCAACACCACCTCCACCTTCAACATCTCCTAAACCTCCAACACCTTCAACACCTCCTAAACTTCCTAACCTACACCTCCTACACCTTCAACACCTCCAACGCCTCCTACACCTCCTACACCTTCAACACCTCCAATGCCTCCAATGCCTCCTACACCTTTAATGCCTCCAACGTCTCCTACACCTCCTTCACCTTCAACACCTCCGTCTCCTACACCTCCTCCACCTTCAACGCCTCCTACAATTTATACACCTCCTCCACCTTCAACATCTCCAACGCCTCCTACACCTTTAATGCCTCCTACAACTACAACGCCTTTAATGCCTTCAACATCTCCTAAACCTCCAACACCTTCAACACCTCCTAAACTTCCTAACCTACACCTCCTACACCTTCAATACCTCTAATGTCTCTTACGCCTTTAATGCCTCCTACACCTCCTTCACCTTCAACACCTTCAACACCTCCTACGCCTTTAATGCCTCCTACACCTCCTTCACCTTCAACACCTCCAACGTCTCCTACACCTCCTTCACCTCCTCCACCTTCAACGCCTCCTACACCGTCAACCTCTCCTACACCTTCAACACCTCCTATACTTTTAATGCCTTCAACACCTCCTACACCTTTAATACCTCCAATGCCTCCTACACCTTCAACGCCTCCTACACGTCCTACACCTTCAACGCCTCCTACACCTTCAACACCTCCGTCTCCTACACCTCCTCCACCTTCAACGCCTCCTACAATTTATACACCTCCTCCACCTTCAACATCTCCAACGCCTCCTACACCTTTAATGCCTCCTACAACTACAACGCCTTTAATGCCTTCAACATCTCCTAAACCTCCAACACCTTCAACACCTCCTAAACTTCCTAACCTACACCTCCTACACCTTCAACACCTCCAACGCCTCCTACACCTCCTACACCTTCAACACCTCCAATGCCTCCAATGCCTCCTACACCTTTAATGCCTCCAACGTCTCCTACACCTCCTTCACCTTCAACACCTCCGTCGCCTACACCTCCTCCACCTTCAACGCCTCCTACAATTTATACACCTCCTCCACCTTCAACATCTCCAACGCCTCCTACACCTTTAATGCCTCCTACAACTACAACGCCTTTAATGCCTTCAACATCTCCTAAACCTCCAACACCTTCAACACCTCCTAAACTTCCTAACCTACACCTCCTACACCTTCAATACCTCTAATGTCTCTTACGCCTTTAATGCCTCCTACACCTCCTTCACCTTCAACACCTTCAACACCTCCTACGCCTTTAATGCCTCCTACACCTCCTTCACCTTCAACACCTTCAACGTCTCCTACACCTCCTTCACCTCCTCCACCTTCAACGCCTCCTACACCGTCAACCTCTCCTACACCTTCAACACCTCCTATACCTTTAATGCCTTCAACACCTCCTACACCTTTAATACCTCCAATGCCTCCTACACCTTCAACGCCTCCTACACGTCCGACACCTTCAACGCCTCCTACACCTTCAACACCTCCTATACCTTTAATGCCTTCAACACCTCCTACACCTTTAATACCTCCAATGCCTCCTACACCTTCAACGCCTCCTACACGTCCTACACCTTCAACGCCTCCTACACGTCCTACACCTTCAACGCCTCCTACTCCTTCAACACCTCCGTCTCCTACACCTCCTCCACCTTCAACACCACCAATGTCTCGTACACTTCCTACACCTTCAACACCTCCAACACCTACAACACCTCCTCCACCTTCAACACTTCCAACACCTCCTACACTTTCTACCCCTCCTCCACCTTCAACACCTCCTACACCTTCAACACCACCTCCACCTCCTCCACCTTCAACATCTCCAATTCCTCCTACACCTTTAACGCCTCCTACACCTTAAACACCTCCTACTCCTTCAACGCCTCCTACACCTCCTACACCTTCAACACCTCCAACACCACCTCCACCTTCAACATCTCCAACGCCTCCTACACCTTGAACACCTTCTAATCCTTCAAAACCACCTTCACTTCCTACACCTTCAACACCTCCTACAGCTTAAATGTCTCCTACACCTTCAAAGCCTCCAACACCACCAACACCTCCTACACCGTCAACAACTCCTAAACCTCTTAAACCTTCAACACCTCCTAACCTACATCTTGAACACCTCCTACACCTTGAACACCTCCTACACCTTCGACACCGCCTAAACCTCCTAATCCTTCAACACCTCCTAACCTACAACTTCAGCACGTCCTACACCTCCTACACCTTCAACATCTCCAACACCACCTCTAACTTCAACACCTCCAACGCCTCCTTCACCTTAATCACCTCCTACACCCTCGACACCGCCTTAACCTCCTACACCTTCAACACTTCCTACACTTTCAACACCTCCTACTCCTTCAACACTTCCTAAACCACCTACACCTTCAACACCTTGTAAGCCTTCAACACCGCCTAACCTACACCCCCTGCACATTCAACACCTCCAACACCTCCTCCACCTTCAACATCTCCAACGCCTCCTACACCTTCAAAACCTTCTAAACCTCCTATACCTCCACCACCTTCAACGCCTCCTACACCTTCAACGCCTCCTACACCTCCTAAACCTTCAACACCTCCTACACCTTCAACCCCTCCTACACCTACAACACGTTGGTGTTGACGTGACTTCCTGGAGGGAAGGGACTGTCGTAGTCGTGTGGGCGGGGATTGTGGACTAACTTGTATTGTTCCTCTCGTTGGTCCAGGGGAGTCTCCGGATTTCGGCTCAGGTGAGGACGCTCTGGCACGGATTCGCCGTCTGATCGCGGAGGGTGGTATGACGGCAGTGGTCCAGCGGGAGCAGAGCACCACCATGGCGTCGATGGGCGGCTTCGGGAACAACATCATTGTCAGCCATCGCATCCACCGTGGCTCCCAGACGGCTCCCGGGGCCTCCAGGCCCTCGGCTGACCCCACGGCCCCCTCCTCCTCCTCAGGTCCCCTCCTCATCACCCAGACCCAGTCGTACCCCCCTCCCCAGACCTCCAGCCCGTCTGAACAGTTGGCCCCCATGTGGGGCCCCCAGGTGCTGTCGGGCCCCCCCCCCTCCGGCCTCTCTCTGGATATGGACGACGTGTTTGACGGAGGACGGACGGACGACGACTCTCTGCCGGGTCCCTCGTCTTCCTCCCTGCTGCTGTATTCCCCCTCTTCCTCCTCCTCCTCCTCTCACAGCCCTCTCCCTGGCGGCGGCGGTGGCCGCCCCAACAGTTACCCCGGCGACCCGTACAGCAGGTAGCTCTCCTATTGGCCGAGAGAAGCAGAGCGTTGGCCGACGGGTTTGGTCCTCAAAGCCTTATCTCACAGACATGGGTGCTGCTTCGACTCTGCACAGGGTCTCCCGCCTGGAACAGAAGGGACACAAGAACCCGCCTCACCCCCCTCACCCCCCTCACCCTCGGTGGCATTGTCTGCACTTCCTCTGCACTTAGAGAACCTGACTGAAGCTCGTCAGAGAGGGGCGTGTCCCGTCAGCTCAGCTCCTCTCTCCTCGACGAGGCTCCTGTGTATCCCAGTGCCATGTCTGAGGGGGGGTCCGGGGTCGGGGTGGGAGGGTGGGGGGGTGATCTCTTTCTCACACATTTACTCCAACGTGCTGCATTCGGTGCAATGTGATGTTGACTTTAGATGTGAATAGTGCGTGATTGAAGTGTTCAAAGTGAATTCAGCACTACTTTATTTTGAAGCCTGTTTTTGTACCGTGTGATGATGTAATGATGATGTATTAAGGAGACAGCTGGAGGACGTCACTGTCCGATCATCATGACTGAATGAACTCGACCTGCTGCTTCTCTTCAGTAACTGCAATTCATCAAACACATGATCTTTTTCTTTTTTTTTTTTTTAAAGAGGAGAAGAACCATTTCCTGTTTGAGGGCAGGGGGGCGGGGCTTCATCATGATGTGCTCCAAACCTCCCAAACCCCTCCCCCTCTAAATTACCACCTAACCCACTTGCACTATAGTGCGTGTGCTACAGACCTGGTGTTCAGTGTGTGGAGGAGGTCATGTGACCAGCTGCTGCTCATTCACTTCTGTACATGAGAATCAACAGACTGTGAATCAGCTGATTGAATCATGTCAACAACATATTTATAACAACTTTAGAAATAATCATGTTTGTTTGGGGAGGGGTTTTTCTTCTGTACAGAAATGAGTGTAAACCAATGGCTGTCCTCACCTGTAGGAAGCTCAGACTCCAGGATGATGACGGTTTTATTCTTCATCTTCGTACAGCAGTAAATATCATGTTGAGAGTTCAAACCAGCAGTGTGTTGGTCCTTCTCTTAGCTCCACCCCCCTCTGTCTGAGTCTCTCAGCTCATTGGTTCCTACTGATGACGTAAAAACTAGATATAAAGTTTTTAAAAAGTTTCATTAATTTCCTGAATCAGCTGATCGACTGTAGTTTCTAACAGGAGGAACTATTTTCAGCAGCGAATTAATCCACATTAATGGTGATGAAGGAACATGTGTGAGACTGATCCCAGGACCTGGATCAGATCTGAAAATCACCAACTGAGACTTTATAGAAAATATAAAACTCTTTAATCCACTTTTAACAATGTTGAGTAGAAGATGAGACATGAGCAGGTGTGTGTGTGTGTGTGTGTGTGTGTGTGTGTGTGGTGTGTGTGTGGTGTGTGTGTGTGTTGTGTGTGTTGGTCTGTTGTGTGTGGGTCCTGTGGGTGTCCGTGTGGTCTGGTGGTGTGGTGTGTGTGTGTGTTTTTCTGTGTGTGTGGTGTGTGTCTGTGTGTGTGTTGTCTGTGTGTGTGTTGCTGTGTGTGTGTGTGTGTGGCTGTGTGTGTGTGTGTTGTGTCGTGTGTGTGTTCTGTGTGTTGTGGTTGTGTGTGTGTGTGTGTGTTGTGTGTGTCTGTGTGTCTGTGGTGTCTGTGTGTTCTGTTGTGTGTGTGTTGTGTGTCTGGTGTCTGTGTGTCTGGTGGTGTCTGTGTGTCTGTGTGTGTCTGTTGTGTGTGTGTGTGTGTCTGTGTGTGTGTGTGTGTGTGTGTGTGTGTGTGTCTGTGTGTGTGTGTGTCTGTAGTGTGTGTGTGTCTGTGTGTGTGTGTCTGTGTGTGTGTGTGTGTGTTGTTGTTGTTGTGTTGTGTTCTGTGTGTGTGTGTGTGGTGTGTGTGTGTCACCTCAAGTCTCAGGTTGTTTAGTTCCTCTGGTGGAGAAGGTTCTGTGATTGGTGTCTCCAACTAACCCCGCCCCCCCCCCCCGCGCCAACTTTCCTGCAGAACAAAACTTGAATTCAGTGATGAAGCCCCTCCCCCTCCTGATGAGACTGTACAGCCACCATTCTGCTGGTTTTACTTTGGTTTTATTACACACACACACACACACACACACCTGTTAGAGCTTCATGTACTGATAGTGTTTAAGTTGTGTATGTGTGTTTCGGGGTGCGGGGGAGGGGGCGGGGCTGTAACGGACCTATGGAAATGAAGATGACGAGGAGGGCGAGCTCTGATTGGAGCTCTGAAGAGACAGAGACTGTTTACTTCCTGTTTTTTATTTCACCTGTAGCCCCTGCAGATGAGACCAGGTGTGGTCTCCTGGGGCGACGGGTCAGGACAGCAGCTGCATGTAACAGCAGGTGATGTGAATGCTCCTCCTGGCTTTACTTGATCAATGAACATTTTAAACACACCTGTTCAGGTGGTCTCGTGTCTGTTCAGTGTGTGTGTGTTTGTGGGGGTTATCGGTGGGGGCGGGGTGGGGCGGGATGGGGGGTGAACAGAGCGTCTTCAACAATGCAACAGGTGAGTGAAGGTACGAGTGGAGTCTGTACAGCTGATTCTCTGCTTTGACTTTTAGACGTGATGTAATTAAAGAGCTTTGAGAGTTTCCTGTGAGTCACACCTTCATCTGTCAATCAGCCAATCAGCTTCTGTTAGCAGTGATGTCACAACTCTCAGGTCGTCATCTAGATCCAAGATAATAAATAATTTATCCCGAATCTCTGCTCCTCTGAGTCTCAAGCTTCTGTTCAAAGGCTTCAAACAGATTCAGAGCCGCCATTTTGTTTTGCCTCCATTCCGCGGTCTCTGGATTAAAGATGTCCGCCATTTTGTTTGGAGGTGTTCTCTACACTACGACAGGCTCTCAGTTCTGGTCTATATGTCGACTGCCACTGATACTGACCCCATATTCTTCATTATTTAACTTATTTTCTATGAATCTGTTTTTCTTTGCGACAGTCTGAGCCGCCATATTGTTTTTGTCCGTCTGTCTCATTCTCAAGGACACGACATCTCAGTAACAGCTGGAGGGAACTTCTTCAAACTTGGCACAAACATTCACCTGGACTCAAGGATAAATTGATTAGAGTTTAGGGGTCAAAGGTCGAGGTCAGTATGACCTCACAAAACAAGATTTAGCTGTAACTCAAGACTTCACACCAATGGTTCATATTTTCTCTGACTCAGGATAAACAGGAAGTGACCTGGAACTAGTCTGAGTGGCGGAGGGATACGACCACGAGGAGGAGATTCTAGTTTAGTTTCATTTTCACTGAAAAACATTTAAAGATGATGATGTGACTTTTGTTCATTTACATCTGAAGAATATGATTTGTTGGTGGGGGCGTCTCTGTAGCAACACAACACTGATGGTGCTAACAATGCTAATGCTAACAACAATGTGACACATTTTACCTCCAGCAGTGAAACTGCAGCTGCTGAGATTTGGATATTGAACTCCATATTGAGATTTATTTCTATTTCTATTCATTGTGCAGCTGTAAAGTTCAGTGACGTATAAAGTGAGAAGTCTGACCCTCAACAAACAGATTCCCACACAACTAAAGGAACCTTGTTGTTTGTCCTTCAGGCAGCGATGACGTCTGCTCGTGTTGAACTCATCAAACATTCAAACTAAATGAATCTTTCCTTAAAGCTTCAAACACAGACTTCAGATCAGACCTGGTCTCTGTGAAGAATCTTTATCTGATGTTTCCATCATTAGGACACTGACAGGTTCAGCCATGACTGACAGTGGAGAGGATGGTCTATCACATTTTCAAAATAAAAGAACATTCATTCACCGACTAAAAGCTAGGCTTCAAAGTAAGAGTCCATAGAAATGTAGAGGAGGAACCGTCACAATAAAACTCAAGTAAAGATTCTGTTTCTACACTAAAATAAAAATAAAGCTGTTTATTGACGACAAGCTGAATATCTTTCTAAAGATCATCTTTCTACAGTCTCTTCTGACTGACTGATGAACTGGTTCAGACTCTTAACTGGTGAGAGGAAACTGATGTTCTGTGATGGACTCAGGACTCTGGTCCGTCCTCAGTCATTAACGTCCCACGTGAAGCAGAGACTGATCTGAGGACATCTGCAGCAGCAGGTGACGTCAGGAAGCTGCTGATGAGGACGAATGAGACGCTTCCTCTGCTGCTTATAAACCGCAGACTGAGCTGATCCAGCAGCTGCAACGTGCTGCTCAGCTCCAGCTCCAGGTCCAGCTCCAGGTCCAGGTCCAGGTCCAGGTCCAGGTCCAGCTCCAGGTCCAGGTACTGTCTGCTTCTCTCTTTACATGTTTAATTATTATTCATATATTACTCATTTTATCATCACTGACTGTTTCCTCTGAACGATGCTTCATGTTTCAGTGTTTATCTGTTTTTAATTATTTTCATTGATAATAAAAAGTAAATCAGATCTTGATCTCTGTGACGTCCTGATGAAATAATGTATAGATAAAATCAATGGCGGTGAATTCAGCTGTAATCAATAGAGTTAAAACCAGCTCCAGCTTCATCAGCTGTAACATTAAAGTGATCAATAATCGATAATTATAAACTGGTGACACATCTTTTATTGCTGGTATTTAAAGTGTTTAAACGTCGATACTTGGGACTAAAGTCACAGTGAATGAACTGAAGCAAACATCAGAGAGAGGCTGCAGCTGATAATCAATTCGTTTATTTATAGAGAATGATCAATTGATTCATTTTTATGAAGCTTTATTTGTGAATCAAAAAGTGAAAATCTTTCTGTTTGAACTGTTGGTGGGAGAGAACACCACATCTGGACATTTATAGACTGAACATCTTCAATTCACTGTCAGAACATTTGATCTGATCATTTTCAGATCATTGATGAACTGATCAATAGTTGCTGATTAATCTTCTTCTGATCAACTAACTGATTAATGACCTGATCGTATTCTGCAGGAGAAGTTCACTTGTTTCCTCCTCGACATGAACGTGACACTGACGCAGTAGATTCACGTTCTACTGACTACAACAACTACATTACCCATGAGCCTCAGCTGATGACTCGCAGTTGTAAAAGCAGAATTCGTTGCTGCATCAACTTTGACCCAAACAAGTTTCTGTAGCTGCAGATTCAACAGCTGGATGAAGCTCTGTGATTGGCTGTTTGTTAGTGAAATGCATCTTGGGAGTCGTAGTTGATTTCTCCTTCATATAGCCACAAAGAAAAAGAATCAACAAATATTCATCAATATCCATCAATTAATAAAACTGATTCTTCAGTTTATCACAGATTCATGTGCTGTTACTAATCAATCACCTGATCAATCACCTGATCAATCACCTGATCACAGCAGATCTTCCTGTGTTTTATTTCTTAGGAAACATGGGAGGAGCATCTGAACTGGACCTCAACTCCTCTGCTTGGCTCCGCCCCTGCATTAACGCCTCCTGTCAGCCTCCAATCAGAGCAGCGTGTCCTTACAGCACTGCCCAGCTGATCTTCGTCATCATGGTAACCGCCTCCCTCAGCATCATCACCGTGCTGGGCAACACGCTGGTCATCCTGTCCATCAAAGTGAACCGCCACCTGCGCACCATCAACAACTACTTCCTGTTGAGCCTGGCGGCGGCTGACCTGCTTGTGGGCCTTCTGTCCATGAACCTGTACACGCTGTACCTGCTGGGGGGCCGCTGGCCCCTGGGGGCCACACTGTGTGACATGTGGCTGGTCCTGGACCATGTGGTGAGCAGCGCCTCCATCATGAACCTGCTCCTCATCAGTCTGGACCGCTTTTTTTGCATGACGCGGCCACTCAGCTACCCGGCGCGGCGGACGGGAGGGATGGCAGGGCTGATGATTGGGGGGGCGTGGCTGCTGTCCCTTGTCCTCTGGGCCCCCGCCATCATCACCTGGCAGAGTGCCGGGGGCAGACGGGTCGTCCCTGAAGGAGAGTGTTACACCCAGCTGCTGGTCAGTCCTGCCGTCACTCTGGCGACGACGCTTCCCTCCTTCTACCTGCCGGCGGTCATCATGGTCGTCCTGTACGGCCGCCTGTCCGCCGCCAGCCGCAGCCGCCTGAGCGCGTTGCGGTCTGAGCGGGGGATGCTCAGGACGTCCAGTCCCTCCGTTAAAGACTTCCTGCTGAGGCGACGCAGCTGGGTGGCCAGTGACCCCGCCTCAGACCTGTCTCTGAACCAATCAGAGTCCAGCACCTCAAGGACCAGAAAGAACCGGAGAGCGTCCAGAAGTCCTGGAGACGCGTCAGACGTCTGTCCGTCTCCTCAGCCGTGTCTCACTCAGACCGCCGCCTGCCGCATCACAGAAGAAGACTACAACAAGATGGAGAACGAGTCCTCGTCCACCGCCGACCTCCACAGGATGGCCTCGGCGGCGCTCTCCTGTCCCAGCTTCAGGTTGGAGGACAGGAGGAGACGGCGAGTGATGGCGAGGGAGAGGAGGGTCACCAAGACCATCCTGGCCATCCTGCTGGCCTTCATCCTCACCTGGACGCCCTACAACATCATGGCAGTGGTCGCGGCTTTCTGTCACGTGTGTGTCCCACAGAGTCTGTGGACCACAGGTTACTGGCTCTGCTACGTCAACAGCACCATCAACCCCGCCTGCTACGCCCTGTGCAGCGTCACCTTCAGGAAAACCTTCTGCCGCCTGCTGCGCTGCTGCCGGTGACACTGATGTGGTTACAGATGCCGTTAAGTCTTTGGTCGCCTTGTACAATCTGTGATGATGTCACTCAGGGTTAGAGGTCACAGAGTGATGTGGAGCCGCTTGAAGTTTCTTCTCAACATGAACTCAGCTGACATTGCCATGACGAAGACAGTCAGACATGAATCAAATGACACACTGTCACTTTTAACCTCAGCTGACTGATGATGTGAAGCTCTGTGATTGGCTGTTTGCACCTGAGAGAACTCATGTGACATGCTAACCATCGCCATGGTAACACGTGGTAGAACAGGGAGCTCTGTGGTTGTTTTGTGTCATTGAGCTGATGCTTCTGTGTCATGAGTGAAGATGAATGAATGAACAGACTGAACTCGTCACCAGAACAATGTACAGTATTTAATTGGTTCATTTGTACAGTCTCATGTTGCATCGTCAATAATCTATAGTTCAAAAATAGATTTTATATCAGACTCTGTCGTCACAGACCATCAACATATTTAAAGATGAGGATTCTGACTCGTCTGAGACCAGGACTGTTCAGGTCTCAGAGCGGGTCAGGACCTCACCTGGATGTTAATTCACCTAGAGCTACAGTAACAGTCTTCAGGACTACCTGTTAAAACAAACTACCAGCTACAGCACAGTGTTATCATCGACTAGAGAAAAGCTTTCCTCATTTAATCCAAAGACAGGAGATCAGAAAGGGAGGAGGAGGAGTGAAGGTGGTCGGTGTCGGAGGAGTCTCTCGGTTTTTGTGTTTGATGAAGGAGGAAGACAATTGTTCAGCTGGAGGAGGAGAGACCTTCCTCCATCTTTACATCTGTCCATCCTTCAGTTTGACTTCTTCTCCCCTGTGAAGAGAAACATGAAGGTCTGAGTTCAACAGATTAAAGCTCCTCCAGTGTAAAGGTCTGTGTCCATGTGTAGTGTGATTATAGATCAGCTCTAGCTTCTATATTAATACTGTGAAAGTATCAAAGCCTCAGTCCACAGAGAAATGCACACAGCCTGTATTCAGAAACTGAGCCTTAAAACCAGCCGTCAGGACTTCTGGAACTTTGTGATGTCACAACAAAGCAGTCACCAAGCCCCGCCCACCTGGACCCACCATCCAAACCTTGCAGGATTTGGTTTCTCTGAGTGTTTTTACCTGAAATCTGCTTTATTTTTATTGGATCAGTCAGAAAACAGTCAGCCAATCAGAAGAGAGGCTCAGAGCCTCCTCTCTTCTGAGATGGTTGAGGTCCTGAGTCCTGGTCCTGCTTCATGTCTCAGACTCAGTTGTGTGGACTCAGAAACCATGAACCTTGTGTCTGTACTAAAGCTGAACACTGTAGTACTGTACTGGCTGGTACAACTGTTTTTGTGGAGAACTGGTCTGGACTTAAACATGGTCTGGACCCTCCTGTGAGGGGCAGAAACATCTTCAGGAACCTGGTGTAATTCATAAATCATTCACCTGTAAGAACCTCATGAAGCAGCATTGTTGATGTTTGTAGGAGACTCATTCAATTACATGACAATAAAGAGATTTTAACATATGTTGGCACAAAGATATTTTTTATATATTTGAGCTGCATGAATGTGAATGTATCATGTTTTTCAATGTCTGTTTTGAAGCTTCAGCAGAATCAGAGATTTAACCTTTTAAATAAAAACACTGATGATTAAATAACTTCAGCTCAATTCAAATACACAGTTATTTAAATAAAAATTTAATTAGATAATTATATAAGATTAAGCTCAAATTTTAAGCAAAATTTATAATTAGATTTTTTTTTTTAATTTGAAAATGAAAATTCCATTTTGAATCTTTGAGTTATTTAATCTAGAATTAGCAGGATCTTTAGTTCTGGTCTGAACCTTCAGGTCTCACCTCGGGTCTTCTTCACTTTGGGGGAGCAGGGTTTGGAGACTTTGACACTGGTTTGGCACTCGGCGTTGAACAAAGCCCTCTTCAGGGTTCCTGACCGACTCTTGGTGTTGGTGGAGGCATCGCAGGATCCCCATGGCCCGAACTTGTACTTACAGTCACCTGCAGGAGATGGACAACAGTTACACCTGAGACACAGCTTCATCTTCATCATCATCATCATCATCATCATCATCATCATCATCATCATCATTCATCATCATCATCATCATCATCATCATTTTAAACTGTCCAAGAGTCAGTCAATGGACCTCAACGTGAAAGACTGAGAACAGTTCAGAGACTGGAAGCTCAATGTTTGTTAGGGGACAGGAACAGGAACTTTAAAAATAAAAGTCGGAGTCATCAAACATATAAACTCCAGCAACTCTTTTCAAAGCATCCATTAGATCTCTCTCAGGTGATAGTATAATAAGGCATATGAATGCCAAATAATATAACATTATACTAAGGCATTAAAACATAAAAAAATAACATTATAGTAAGTCATAAAAATGTCAGTATAGTGAGGCATAAAAACATCAATAGACTTAATAGTATGCTAAAGCATTAAAAACATCAAAAAGTATCATACTATAAACATAGAAACGTAACAAAACGTAACATGGTAGGAGGTAATGTAAATGTCAAAAAATGTAACATTATACTAAAGCTTGAATACGTTAAAAATGTAACATCATAGGAAGTCATAAAAACAACAAAAAATGTAAGCTGTGAATTTTTTTTTATCATTATATAAAGTCATAAAAAGGCCAAAAAATTTAACTTTATAATAAATCATAAAAACATCATAATAAGGCTTAAAAACTTCATGGTAAAATAAGGCATGAAAATGTTATATATAGTTCGTCATAAAAACGTAACAAAAAAAGCAATAATACAGAAAGTCATGAAAACGTCAAAAAAAGTCATAGTATAGTAAGGCATGAAAACATTCAAAAAAACATCATAGTATAGTAAGACATAAAAAAAAAATGCAAAGTATAGTAAGACATGAAAAAAGTGAAAAAAAACGTCATAGTATAGTAAGTCATGAAAACGTCAAAAAAATGTCATAGTATAGTAAGACATGAAAAAATCAAAATAGGTCATAGTATAGTAAGACATGAAAAACGTCAAAAAAACATCACAGTACAGTAATACTTGAAAACGTCAAAAAAGATCATATTATAGTAAGACATGAAAAAAGTAAAAAAAAACTTCATAATATAGTAAGACATGAAAAAAGTGAAAAAAAACGTCATACTATAGTAAGACATGAAAAAAGTATAAAAAAAGATCAAAGTATAGTAAGACATGAAAAAAGTGAAATAAAACGTCATAGTATAGTGAGTCATGAAATAAGTCAAAATAATGTCATACTATAGTAAGACATGAAAAAAGTTAAAAAAAGTTATAGTATAATAAGTCATGAAGACGTCAAAAAACGTCATAGTATAGTAAGACATGAAAAAAGTCAAAAAAACATCATAGTATAGTAAGACATGAAAAAAGTATAAAAAAAGATCATAGTATAGTAAGACATGAAAAAAGTGAAATAAAACGTCATAGTATAGTAAGACATGAAAAAAGTATAAAAAAAGATCATAGTATAGTAAGACATGAAAAAAGT